TGATGACAAAAAAAGCAAGGATGATGTATGGAACTCACTCCAATTCCTCCAAGTATACCCCTCCAGAAGACATATATCTACAACACGCGCCAACCATAGTCCCAACCAAGCGGTCAATACAACCAAACCATCGGTTCCGCCAAACAAGCCGTCGGCGCCGCCATCGGCAACGAAGACCTCCGCAAAGCCGGTGAGCGCCAAAATGCAGAGGGAGAACAGCAAGAGGCGCATAAACAGGCGCAAAAATGGGGCGAAGGAGCCGGGGACCGCGTAAAGGGCAAAGTTGGCGAGTTCCTCTCTGGACCTGGGTTCGGTGGTAGCGAGCAGGAGCGAATGGACGCTGAGGCTGAGCGAAGGAAGTATACGCAGATGCATGAGGAGGGGAAATTTCAGCAGAAGGAAGCTGAGCAGGGCATTCAAAATCGATGGGGCGATGATGATAAGAGCGAGGAGAAGAAGTAAGCGTGTTTGAGGAGGGTTTTATAAACTAAGATGGATTAGTTATTGGGAGAGTTTCTTGCTTCCCTGAACTGGTTATGATATCCGGTTGTGTTAGCAGTAGTTTTTATGTATATCCTTTTTCGATATTGACGTCTCAATAATATATTGCTCGCGTATAACCTATTCCTCCCCGTCCCAAAAATCTCATACGATTCGCCTAAAGGCTCATTCATCGTAGGACGAGAGTACCGAGAACCTGAAAGGAGAGTCGCGGCGCAGAAGCACCATTCTCCCTGAATACGCGTTCTGATATTGCAGTAAAGCAAACCTTCGCAAGGTCAACCTGCATCTGTTCCCAGACGCTTACCCCCATTGCTTCGAACCTAACATGCCGTATACCATCGCTGGAGGGTCGGAATCCCATCGCTGATCAGACGCGGATCAAAGCCCACTGACAATTGGGCCTGTATTGTTTGGGCTTGGTGGAGAGCATGGAGCGGCTCCGACTCGTGCTTTTATTGAGCACAGATAGAGCACATGCCCTGTCAAGAGATTAACTTATTTAGCTCTGCAGAAGCCCTCCAGTGCGCAGCGGTTGGGATAAGACCGTTCAATACACGATAGCAAAAGGTAATTTAGCCAGGACGACCGAAGTCTCGCCATGGGGAACTCGTCAGCTATTACAGGAATGGGAATGTCCAGAGGGATGTTCCGGCCATCTCAATAGCTCTATCAATAAGGGGACATGCGTCATCTTCAATATTCAACGACAGGGACTGTAACCGACATTGTGAAGTGGATGGCTCCCATTCGATTTATGTGCAGTGGACATCACGCTTCTCAGTTTGGAAGAGGTGGATGTAATGGCGTTCCCTTGATTGCCTCGATTTCATGCAAGCTGAAGACGGGGAACGGGATTTCTCTCTGCGTTCCAGCAAAGAGTGAAAAGTATGTGGTGTGTATTGATTCGAAGCTATTCACCTCTTGGGACTCAATCCACATCGGAATAAGCTTTCATATTTTGCAATTAGAAAATGGAGCTCTCCGACCAGGAGCATTTCAATAGCCTGGGAAATTGATGACAGTGGTATGGCTTCCCGCACCCGAAAGGGATGTTCCGCTTGATTGGGACTGACAGAGCCTTTAGTCCAGTTGAACTGGGTGTATGAATGGATGCAGGAGCTCTTGAATCAAGACTGGGGAACTTATATAGGTTGGATATGTGATGATTCTTACTACAGACACCAAAGTATCGCAGATTCTACGGATATCAATATATCAGCCAAATTTCCCATAGAGATCCGGAACGACTGGGCAACCATGAGCGAATTGAGATGAACTATTCGAAGTTCATGAATGTGCATACGATCCTGGAGAGGGAACTTCGGGCCCGAAAGGGTCGCCTTCTTGTTACTGGTACTCACCCATTTCACCACTCATGTCTCTTCCTTCGCTGATCCATTAATAGTGGCTGCGCATGACAACGTTCGTGATTCCGTTCGATGCTGCGTCCTGCAGAACCTGTCCCGGCCGGGTAGAGCATTACCAAGGCCGTGAACCCTTTGGTGGAGAAGCAAGAGAGCCCCACTCAATTTATGAGAAGTGCAATGGAAGCGTTTATTCAGTTAGTGGGGGGAAGTCCGCAAGGGTCGTGGCTCTGTTGACTCCATGGAGAGCAGAATGGACGGGCTAATCGGTTGAGTCGGTATGGATGAATTCAGCGCAGAGAAGAGATTCCGGATCCATCGAATCGATCGACTACTGAGAACTTCCCTTTCAGTCAAACTAGATAGATAACGGAGGTTTGTGCTAGGTAATCCAATCGCCTGTTGGAAGTCTTGAGGACTGTATTGCTGGACGCTCGTCGAATCTACAAATCACGTGATAGAACCAGGCCGCATGGAAAGGAGTCTTGGCAAGCGCCGAAACCAACCTCCAAGCACCTACCCTCGCGCAGGGTCTAATCTTTCGTTTTTAATTCATTTCTTATGTGTTGCATTGGTTGAGTATTTTCGCTACATCTCTTGTCAAAAATCTCAACCTCTCACACATTTTGGGGTGAATATATGGCACCTCCACCCAGTGAATTGATCGGTGCTGCTGGACGTCGCTATCTCTTCAAGCAACTGATTCAGGAGAGACCACATCTTGGTCGCGTTTGGTTGGCAACGTGCGAGCATACCCGCCCCATCATGTAGCGCAGCTTGTTGAACTGACAATGCTCCAGATCCGGACAAGGCAAATTCATCTTGAAGAACATGCCCAAGGCCATTTTCTCAAGCTTTAATGAGGACATACGCCCGAGGCTTCCTGAAAGTCCATTTCTACGGCTACCACATGACACAATTCCGGATCAGCAAATATTCATTTACAGATACATGAATGATGACTTTCTGAGCCTTGTTAGAAAGCAAATACCCATGCAAGCTAGGAAGCAGATTCTAAAAGCCAGCTTGCAAGGGATTGCTGAGCTGCACAGTCATGATATTGTCCATTTAGGTGAAGTAAGTGCTCTTCAGTTCCATAATCTAGAACTAAATGCTTTCAGATATTAAACCTGACAATATCATGGTCAACTACCGCAGTACTGGTCCAGAGACAATTGTTGAGCAGGTTCAGATCATTGATCTTGAAAATGCAGCTTATCTCCCTAAAGGGAGATGCATTAAAGGGATGTTAGCTGGCAATGATAGCTGGCGCAGTCCAGAGAGCCACTTCAAGGGTGAGCTTAACAAGCCTACTGACATCTTTTCCTTCGCAGCTGTGGTAGGTTACCGCCCCCTTGAGAGAAGGCTCTCTCTAGCTAACCTGCTCAGTGCATCTATGCTATGCTCGGACAAGTCATCTTCGGAGCCGATGAGGATTTACAGAAACATGAATCACAGGGTGCATTCCCTCACATCATTCGCCTGCAACGTCAAGTTTCCTTTTTTGGAGATCAAGAAGGATTGAATGGACTCATGACACACGTTGGTGATGAGGAAGTCAACTGCCAGATTCTGATGATCGGGTGGCAGATTATCATTCCTACAAGCCATTCTCAGTGTGGCCGAATGTCACCGACGATGAGTTCAAGGATCTCATCCGGAGAATGATGAACTTAGATCCTCAAAAGCGGGCAACAGCGCGCGAAGCGTTGGAGCACCCCTGGTTTGCTGATTGTGAGATTTATTAAGCGTCTTGGAGAGCATGGTCCCCCGAACATTGCAGGCCTCACAATTCATGAAGAGGGACAGGCAGACATTTCGTCTTTCAGAGGTCTCATTCTCCTCACCAATCCTTCCCCGTCACTCTTTTACAAACCCTCCCTGCTTCTAAGACAAACTCCCCTTTGGTGAAAGAATCACTACTGTCCCTACCTGTCTAGACACTGCCTTCCTAGCCGACCTCTTTTTAGTTATGCAATTCAAAGTGGCTGGAGCCTCTCTATTGGTTAAATAAAACACACAGTAATACTATTTTCTTGTGACTGTATTCTCCTACATACTCTCCCAGATAGTTCTCAATACTGGACAAAGCAGACCAGAAGGCAAAGGCACTCAATGGGGAAGAACATGCCAGAGACATTGCCAGATGCACCGTTCAAGGTGAAATCCACAGTTCCAAGAATTGCACGCAGGAAGCTTCTTAGTGATGAGGGGACGTGGACCTGAGCATAAGGCGTATCTACGGCAACTTGACAGGAAAAGAAGCCTTGATTTTGAGCCAGTTAGGTACAGACAGGCTGAACTCCTACCTCCATCGGATCAAGGTAATAGATTCCGAACAATGTGCCTGGGGACGAGAGAAAGAGACTGTGTCCGGCATAGTGCGTAGGTATGTGGTCATCGCCATGGATTCAGCTGCTCAATGACTTTCTCATGCCCATTCCATGCTGCCCAGTATAGCGGTGTCCATCCATAGTTATCTTTTGAATTCACTTCCACTTCCTTCTTTGCCATTAGCAGCTCGACTTTCTCATGTCCATTCCTGTGCATAAAAGCTGCCTGCTTTTCTTCACCCGCACAACATAAAGGAACTGATGACGGGACAGAAGCAAGATGCACGGTCAAAACCACAATATCATTTAGAGAAGCTCTACACTATTATCTTCTTCACCACCGTACCGTCGAAGGAGATCTGAGATGTATACTACAAACTTCATCATGTGAAAGCGACAATGAGGACCCAGAGCGACAGTAAATGGAGACATGTGCTGTGGTTGTTTTCTGGGGATGCTTTTGATGCAGACAAGCCAGGATCTCTACTCCCATTGCCGTCATAGCTGCGACTGGTAGGTGTTAGACTACCGGAATAAGGTGCGTGGGTCACATTAGAGGGTGGAGAGGGTGTGTGTGTGGCGCCGTCGGTCCACCAAGAGAACCCGGTATAGAAAGCGCCCAAAGGGATACCTGACGCCTTCACACTGCTGGCCATGGGTACTGCAGTGCCTGAAGGATGACCAGTAGAGGCTACTATCAAAGGCTCGGTCACATATGTCAGACAAAAACCAACACGGCCGCTGTACGCCCTACACCAGGCAAACCCACGTCAACCCAGACAGATGTCATGGCACACGGACAGTGGGTTCCTCTATCCGATCTATTTTGGTATTGTTAGTAGAATTACTGGATGGAAAAATACATCAGACTCACTCTGAGGCAACTAAAACCATCGTGTCAGCAATAGCCAACAGCAAGAAGTAAATCAGCATGGTAACGGGGCGGGTCGATAGGGTTAGGATTAAGTTCCGGGAGAACAGGCTTCCGCAGGACTAACTAGTGTTTCTCTTCTGAGATACAAAATACAAAAATGTTCGCCTGTGGGAGCCACTCGGCAGAGATATAGATACAGCCAGACACTATGCGCCTTAGAGAATGGAAGTAGGTGCTCTGATGCTTTCCTCGGCACCTTCTTTCCTCCAGGAGGTGTAAAACAAAATTGTGCATTTGAAGTGGCTTCATCCCAGGTTTTCAAGATGAGCCTTGTGTGGTATTGTCGCAAGTTCTTCCGAATTGAAGATCCAAGATCCTCTATTTCTGGGAGAAAACGACAAATCAAAATGAACAGGATGGCTTATTCCCCATAGTTGCCCTTGCGGCCTTGTAGGGACAGACGATAAATGCATTCATCCTTTGAAACTCTCATTCCAGGAAACATTCAGCTAGTATAAATGCTATATAACAGTTAAATAGAAATTAACCGAGCTACAAATCGTACAGGGGATCAAATGAAGGTATGAAAATATTGTTACAAGAGCCACTTTCAACAAATTGACTTTCCTCATCTCCCAGGTGCTCTGGAGGATCCAACGGCGTATTTTCAATAGACGAAGTCATCCAAACGGGGGCCTGGGTAGCTCTTTTCACACTTAAAGCGTCACCTCCAACAAATCGACTTTCATCTCCCAGGCGCTCAGGAGCATCAAATGCCGATATGCCCGACTGCGTCCTTTCAACAGGTGAAAGAACCCAAACGGGCGGTTGTATGGTCTGTTTTGCACTTGGCATTGGCTTGCAGTGGTTGAACTGCTACTCGGGCTCAGGCACTATAATATTTAAGTGGACAACATTGAAATTGCGGGAGTGAAAAAGATTCCACAGAAATTGCAACCAAAACAAAATAAAACAAAAAGGTTCGCACAGAATATAAATATAAATGTATTCTATTCTCCGCAATGGGAGGAATGATGTATAAGCTGCATGAAATGAAAAATCGACGCAGCTCCAACCCCGCCAACAAAGAAATAGGATGGAGGAGAGAGAGTCTATATACGCCAGAGTATATACAACAAGAGTCAATGCGTTGCGAAAAGATCTCCAAAACATCCACGCATAGGAAAAGATGAGAGAGAGGACGATGGATGTAGCATACATAGGACGAGCATGACGTCTAATCCATTATATCGGAAAAATCGCAGAAAAGTGACAAAAGAAAAATGTAAGCCCAAATCATAACAAGAGCTCATCATATACAAAAACTCATTCAGATCCAGAAAAAGAAAAAGAAAAAGAAAAACAGTTCCTTTGCCCACCCTGCTCTCGGTCGTCCTCTATTTCTCATGACCCCCACCAACAAGCTTCATCCGGCTACCTACGGCCTCGGCACTCTTGCCGGCCCTTTCTTCGCCAACTCGTTCACCAGCAACCCCACCGCCGACTCGCCCGTCTCATCCCGCGCCTGTTTGAGAAAGGGGATCAGCGACGTCCCACCTGTCCCTTTGAGGCCCTGGCTTCCACTCCCAGACGCTGGCGTGACATCAGCACCAACCCCATTCGCCGCCGCCGCAACGGGACGAGCAAGGTTGACCGCGCGCGACTTTCCCGGAGCAGCAGGGGCCGCACGGGGGCTGGTCGACTTGTCCTCATGCGCGCGCGCCTCGCGGGCCTTGATGATGATGTACCGCGAGACCATCTGGATGTGCTTGTCGCGCATGCCGCGCAGGACGGCGAGGCAGGAGTCGTATGCGGCGCAGAGCGCGGTGTCCACGCGGTGCTTCAGGATGTAGTCGCGGATGTTGGCGACGCTGGCGACGTGTTCGAGGAAGCGCCGATGTGGGCCCGGCATATACGAGCGCATCTCCAGGATGAAGTTGTGTCGTTTAGTCGAGGGGGTAGGGCTGCTGTTGCCATCGTCCGGTGGTGGCTGGGAGAGCTCGGGCTTCTCGCTGTGCTTCCGCTCACCGGTGGGCCGGTGCTCGATGTTCAGGACTATGTCGAAGAATTGGATCAGGGAGCTCTGGGCGTTGGAGCCGCCGCTGTAGTAGTGCCGGGTCTGCGAGCCGGTTCCGTCGTCGTAGATGATGCCATCGGGCAGACCGGCGTCGCTCATGTTCCGGCTGCCGGCGAGAAAAGGGCGGACGCGGTGGTAGAAGACGTGCGGGTCGCAGTTCTCGTACATGCGCTGGAGGATTTCTGATATCTCGTGGATTCGTTGCGCGAAGGTCCGTAGGCAGTCTATGACTACGGGGGTGTTATTTTGGCGGGCAGCGGCGATGGCGTTGAGCATCAAGGGGATGGTGGAGGCGCCATGGGATTCCATGGCGATGGAGACTAGGTAGAACCATTGCTCGTCGAGGGAGCCGGTGAAGGTGAAAAGTGAGGTGATGTTTTCGATGTTGTCGGCGGGCTCGTCGGGGAAAATAGGCCTGTAGTTCCAGAGGCACACGCCGGAGTATGTGGCAATGGGGGGAAGTTCGTGATGAGCGGAGATTTTGAGAAGGGGAATTGAGATGGATTGGGGGATTATCTGTGGTGATCGAAGGCATCGTTAACGCATGGTTGTACACAAAATATGCCGTGAAACAAAACCCATCCCTGGCAGGCTCCCCGGCTTGGTGGGCCAAAAAAAGAAAGGAAAAAAAGAAGCTCCACTAAGAGGGGTAAAAAAAGGCCGCATATCCAACAACCACGGGAGTGTTCCGCGCGTACCTCAGCAGGAGAATCACCACCCCAGATATAGGCATGCAGCATGAACACCAGCAAAACATAAGCTCTTCGCCACTCTGGCTCTGTTTTCAGCTTCGTCGTCGACAGGATTGGCATGGCGTCGATTGTAGGGCGCAACCGATGGCTGAGCAGCAGCGCCTGGAGGTTGGCGGCGATCGACTCCCATTTTGCATAGTAGGGATCTGGGAGACTCTGTAGCGGCGGCTCTTGAGGGAGGAAGCCTGTGACGGGGGAGATGCCATAGTCCGCAAGGGACGGGAGCGGCAGAAGCATTCTAACAAGGACTGGCTGGGGTGGACAGAACAGCCAAGAACGTAAGGAGAAGCTTCGAGAAGCTGCGAGTAGGATCGGATGCGGATGCGAAAGAGGGACGAGGAAGAGATCAGAGACAAGGAATAGATAGAGGTGCAGACTGGATTAATCAAGCGGCGGGGTATGTCAGCAAGAATCAATCATATGTTGAGGGAAAAAAAAAGGTAAAAAACAAACATCACGAGGGAGAAACCTAGGCACAGAGACGCCAAACCGCGGGAACAACGAACGGGATTCCAGGGACTAGATGAAGCCAGCAGGAAGCAGTCGAGTCAATTATTCAATGATGATATCGCAAGAAATCCAGTT